TACGTAATCTACGTTTCTGAATACGCGCTGCGGCATACCCAAAACAAAGCCTGTATACCATCCTTATTTCATATGGCTTAGGACAATGCATCAAAGTATGCGGGTTCACATATGCAGAAAATATAATACTTCAAGTCGAAGGATAGTTACACCCGTGATCGCGTTAAAGATGCTTAGAGCATGAACTAAAAGTTCAAGCAACATCTTTAGGATGGGTCAGTCCGGCATCCTATTATCTCCAGATAATATCTACCCATGTGCGGATGCGAACACGCTGTCATTGACTATGAGACTAAGTCAAACATCCAACACACACTAGTCTCACATGCATTAACGATATCCTACTCTCGTTAATACTCGACTATGGACATTTAGATAAATATTTATTTCAAGATGTTAGTCTCATCAGCAGAGAAACACTATCTGATAAACATCTTTAAATATAAATCTAGGAATACAATATTTGTTTACATTAGCATGAGATGTGTAAACATATTATATCTGCCTATACATGATAGAATAATGATAAACAGTTGGCCATCAGGGCACAACTCCAACAGTATATTTGTATTTTGACCCGTGCACGGGTCTGATGGGTGTATTCCACCCAGAACCGGTCAAAGAAGATGTTTAAATATTCAACCGGTCATGTTGATTATTCTTGAATGGGAGACCTAAATAGTCAAAAAAGGTTGCTGGGTTGACCAAAAAAATTGACCGGTATACTTCGGATAGTATACCGGTCAAACTACTTTATCGCCTCATTCATTTATCCAATTTCAGTAAATCCACCCCCCAGAAACTACCCGGTTTGGTTTCTTGGGTTGGAAAGCGTCGGCCCAAGTAGAATCCAAAAGGGTTTGTATTGTAGCGACCATAGTCCGCAGAAGATCATTGGAGATACTCAAGTAATCAGTCCAAGCTAGTACGCGACAAGGTAGCCACCTTCTTCACTAAGTGACAAGGCAGCTAGAGGACAGAGGCAATCACCTCCCACCACCCGTGCCCTGACGTGGATGAGCGGTGCTTTGTCCCCTTTAGCTTAGTATAAATACTTGTGTAACCCTTAGAGGAAAGGATCCGATTTCTTCTCTGTAAAATTCTGGCGTAATAGCTCACGTGCATTCCACTACATTCTTAATATTAACTAGGCTATACGTGTTTCCACCTACAGTCCTTCCGGTCACTTTGTGTGTTTTACCTTTTCACTTTTACGAATTTAGTAAACAATCCTAGACTCCGTCTAGTACTGTTTACCCGGTTAGGTAATTTACACCATCAGGGTCAAACGAAATATTTTTTGATTTTGAATTTTTTTCAATATATATAATAATTTTCTGGAATCAAGTAAATATAGTTTTAACACTTCAATGAATAACAACGATAAAGTAAAATAAATAACAATTGAGGAATTGAAAGTATACTCGAAAAAATATTTTTTAATTCCAAACTTTTTAAAAAATTTCAGGGTACACAACATTTTTTGTATGGTTATAACGATTTCCATTGTCATCTGGAACTAATATTTTTAATAATGTCTTTGCCTTCACTCGTAAAATAATAAACTAAAGCTGACAATGAGTAAATGCTGAATTGGTTAAAAATAATACAACAAAAGACAATGTTTGACCTTAACTTTTGTTAATAGTCATAGCAAAACATAAGACTATTGAGAATTGTCTTCTCTAGAATTTAAGAGATAGTCCTGAATCAGATCGTACCAAATTCATTCGAGTATGCAAACCTTTTTCCCGACTCGATTTCTCAAAACCCCAACTAGACTGATAATATTCTTTCACAGCTCTTTAACGATTAATCTTCTACCATTACACAATCCAGATATTTGGTCAATGTTCTTCAATAACATAATCGATATCCCATTTTTAAAAACTATTATATGGTTTGGGATCCCGAACATTTGATTTCATTGAAAACTAAATTATTATCCAATCGTCTTCAACAGTTACATCTAAATATCCTTAGCATTAAGAATCAGAAGTTAAGTACTCGTTTTCACCTCTGAGAATAAGGGATATGACAAATTCATTTACTATTCAACAAACTCAAGCGTGGGTGCTAACAGTGCACTCTCCTAAAAAAAATAATTTTTCATGTATCTCTAAGAGGTTCGGATAAGTGAAGACCACTATACTCTTGAAGGGATAACTTATGCCGAGAATCAAGAACTCAGATGGAATTTCAACCTCAGAGTTCTATCGATCAGTTGTCCAAGTTTTCCATCTTCGACTTTGATTATCCAATTAGAAAAAGGTTGCACGTTCCTGTCCGTGCAAGAGGGTGTACATAAATGCAATCTCATATTCTTGGTCAACGCATAAACTTTACAATACAATCACATTTTTGAGGAGTTGGTGATAACACTTACAATTTCCTCCCTCAAAGCTATGAGTAAAACTGAAAGAATTTGGGTACAATCACCTCTGAGTACAACTATTTTCCCTTCGAATTGTTCAGTTCTGAAGTTATAATTAGAGAACCTCATTACATCTCTCTTTTTATGCAATCAAATATCTCAAAAGCAAATTTATTCCTCGCAGATGATTCATCCCATATGATTATACTTACTTGTTGGATTAGATCTGCTTTCGGGCTCCCTTGTTTGATGGCACATGATGAGCAAATGGTTTGTGCCAAATGGATTAATAATCTTGAGTGTGTTTTTCTTCCCCTTGGCAAAAGCAATGCTACGATGTAGTTGCATGCAATGATTTCTAGAGAAATATGTTTTGAGTTCTCTAGACATATGATGAGTGCAACATGGAAATATGTTTCCAGTTCCAGTGTAGCATTGGGTTATTGCAACGATTACATTATTTAGACCTTTATTTACAAATCTAAAGAGATGTTTGATTGGATTAGTTTTGTTGCAATATTAAATGTTGATTGATCTTGATACCTCATCAAATGTTGTGGTTGTATGACACAAGAAATTAATTCGATTGTCCAACTCGATTTCCTTACTCATTACGGTGACCCCCATGTTTCTTTTTCTGTATATCGGGTAGCCATTCTCATGAAACAATATGATGTCTGATCAATAATTTTTTGGGGGAAATATTTCATGTATTTACCATTGTCCATATATAGAGATATATGATCATTTATGCCACATGGACTATGCATCATCAATCGAGTTACAAACTCATGCAATTTAAGATATTTGTTTATATTAGGAACCTCTACACATATCACACGATCAATCAACTCGAGCAATTAAAGTTTATCCCTATGGTGTAACCATATAAAGATATGTGCTTGAGACAAACTTCTCTTTTGAAAGTCAACAGTGTATAAGCATGCACAAAATCATTACATTCAAATGATGATATTTTAAATTGAATGTTCAAACCGTAACAACTTTATTATTTAAATGAAACTAATATAGTAAATTTTAAAATTACCTTTAATTGCTTCACCAAATTTAAGTTTTGTAACGCTCCAAAACATACCCTAAAATTTTTGTTGAATTATTATTCAATTAAATAAATTTGTTTTGACTAAAATAAATTATTTTTGGGCTTTGGACCGAAATGTTTTGATATCCAATATCACAATCTGGATAAATCTCATATAGATAAATCCAATATGTTGATTATTTGTGTAATCTTGATTGGGAACCAGAGTACAGACCCAAATTAAGAATAAATAAAAAATTTGTTTATGATGTGAACTTTGAAATGATTTATTGAAATAAATCATGAGGATAAGTAATATGAAGTAAAGAAAATAACTTTTTTGAATAAAGGTCAACTAAATCAATTTTGTCTCTGTCAAAGCCAAACACCGAAAAATATGATGTATGAAGAAGTATTCCAAATAAATATAAAAGGTATATCATTAGATAGAGTTGGACTGTCCGATCGCAATGGTGCAAAGAGATTTCAATTCGGACATTATTCCTCCCACTAGACATTATTAAGTAATATTTAGAGAATAAAAAAGTTTAAGTCTTACATTGGAAAATGACTTATGTTTTAGTACTATTTAGTGCAAATTTCACTTGATTAAAAAGGATTAATTAATGAAGATACTTTTCGTAATGTGCTATAATTTTGAAGTAAGAGGGCCACCTAAGGTCAAGGTACCGAGCCAACGAGATGAAACATATGATCTTTTCGTACTCTTTGTTTCCTATTTAGGAAGTTTCCCAATTATGTAGTATCCACTTTATTAAAACTCTCATTTTAAGAAATGAGTTCAAAGTGTCAAACAAACTTTTCAAATAGGTTTGTCAGTAATCATGTCAACATAGAATATTTTAGACACATGAATTCATTAGGGAAAAATACCTTACCATAACTAAGTCTAAAACATACAATGACATTGCACATATTTCATAATGTCAACACTCTTATTCAGGGAATAAATATATATGATATCTTCTTTTTTTTTAATAAAAATTTCATTTTTAGTTGGTAGATATTCATTATAGAGATTAAAAAATACAAACTAATTCGAGACAAATGAAAACAAGAAAGTGGACGGTTAAACTTTCAATACATTATTATCAATTCTGAGTACATTGGTATCAATTTTCAGTACAAGACAAGAATCAATAGCTCGCTAAAACATTAAGAAAAGAATCAAATCAAATTGTGAATGAGAACAAACCACACAAAACTACTAGTAATAATGTTTAAATAGTACTAGTAAGAGATTGGCTTTGGGACATTGGATAACATCCCTCTGGAAAATCTTCTTTAGATTCTTCTTCTTGACACTCCAATTCTTCTTTCTTCATATAATATTCATCGTTGTCGTCTGAGCCCAGAACAGGTTTAATGGCAGCAGATTGGTGACAGCCATCAGGAAAATCACGCTTTGCGTAAATTCGTCCTCTGGGTTTATATTCTTCTTCTTGACCAATTCCCTGCTCAATTTCTTCTTTATATTCTTCTTCTTCAGATTCTTCTTCTTCTTCTTCATAATATTCATCATCGTCATCCAAGTCCAATGTAGGTTTAATGGTAGCAGATCGGTGACAGCCATCTGGAAAATTGCGCTTTGCGTAAATCCGTCCCTTGGGTTTGGCAGCAACAATGTCACCCAAGAGATTAGCGGCATCGTCATCATCATCATCAAAACCAATTTCCTGCTCCATTTCTTCTTCAGATTCTTCTTCTTGAGACTCCAATTCTTCATAGTATTCATCGTCGTCATCCAAGTCCAATGTTGGTTTAATGGTAGCAGATTGGTGAGAGCCATCAGGAAAATTGCGCTTTGCGTAAATACGTCTCTTGGATTTGGCAGAAACAATGTCACCCAAGAGATTAGCCGTAGAATACACAGCATCATAATCATCACAATTAATCCCCTGCTCAATTTCTTCTTCTTCTTCTTCATGATACTCATTGTTGTCGTCCGAGTCCACTGTAGGATTAATGGCAGCAGATTGGCGACAGCCATCAGGAAAATCGCGCTTTGCGTAAATTTGTCCCTTGGGTTTGGAAGCAACAATGTCAGCCAAGATATTTGCTGTAGAGTACACAACATCATCACCACAAGACTCTGTTCCCCACAATTCTTGTTTTGCTGTAGAATATTCATCACCATCATCATCATAAGATATCGCTACAGCTTCTTCTGAATGGTCATAGTCACTCTCTTCTTCTTCATCTGACTCTTCCCAAATACCATCAACTTGTTTACCAAGATTTGAATCAGCAAGAACAAATTTACCAACAAGTTGATCTCTAGAATACCCATCATCATCACAAGATATGGCAATAGCTTCTTCTGAAAGTTCACAGTCCCTCTCTTCTTCTCCATCCGACTCTTCCCAAATTCCATCAACCTCCTTATGAAGATTTGGATCAGCAAGAACATATTTACCAACAAATTGATCTCTAGAATACCCATCATCATCGCCATCATCACCACAAGATATCACTATTGCTTCTTCTGAAGGTTCACAGTCCCTCTCTTCTTCATCAGACTCTTCCCAAATTCCATCAACCTCTTTACGAACATTTGGATCAGAATACCCATCATCATCGCCATCATCCTCACAAGATATCACTATAGCCTCTTCTGAAGGTTCACAGTCCCTCTTTTCTTCTTCATCCGACTCTTCCCAAATCCCATCAACTTCTTTGCCAAGATTTGGATCCGCAAGAACAAATTCACCAACAAATTGATTTTTAGAATACCCATCATCATCATCATCAGATCCCACAGCAGATTTCCCAGAAACTTCTTCATACTCGCTCTCACCCAGACTAACAAGATTGGGATCCTCAGAAAAATCGCACCTTGCAGATGATACCTTCTGCATCTTGTGCTTACACGGATCAGAGAAATCAGCAGCGGAAAAATTGGGATTTTCCCACACCCTCTTAACGCCACAGATTGATCCAGCCATTGGAGAAAAGCCTTCAAGAAGAACAAAACCAAAGATTGATCAGATGGTTCTGCCCAAGAAGACAGACGCGAAATCAAGAACGGAAATCAGATGTCAGATTCGAATCGAATCAGATTCAAGAAACATAAACAGGGGATTGAAGCAAAAGGGTTACCTGGAATTGAGGAGTACAATAATAGTATTAAGGAATGAATTGGTTCTGGACAGGGATTACGAAGAGCAGCCTGCGGCTAAATTCGGCAAGAAAGGAGAAGGAGTAGTTAAATAGGCTCCAGCTGGTTCTTGTTCGGAACGGGAATAGGTTTTGACTCTTCCTTGCTTGGAGTGGGGATCAAGTTTTTCCAATACCATTAGAGTTAGGTATACGGAGTACTCCGTATCATTTATTTAATCAGTTGAGCTTGGGTTGGTCATTAACTTCAATAAAGAAATACTCAGCCTTCCATTACTATTTGTTCATTTTTTATTTTTTTTGGTCAAAATTGATAAATTTTAACTTTAAATTAAATAAAAATAATATTACATATTAATACATAAATAGTTTCATTAGATTTATTATATCAAATGTTTTCAAAATATTATTTTATTTAATCAATACACAATATACTCCCTTCGTCACACAAAAAAGTTCTCATTTTGAATTGTATTTAGTCAAATATTTACACGCTTTAACTACAAATTGTGAGAAAGATATATAGAATTATGAAATAAATTTTATATAATTAGATTTATCTTTAGATCTAGTTTTGATATCTCAAATTGTTTTAGCATTTCTTTATTTAGATTATATTTAATTTAGGGTCAAAGTGTGCAACAGTTTGACCAATTTATGGTCAAAATGGGAACTTTTTTGTGGGACGGAGAGAGTATATTTTATTTAATTATAGGTCAAATGTTAAAAACAGTTTACCATAAAAAGTCAAAACTAAACAAATACTCAAGGACAGAAGTAATACTTTACATAAAATGTTTCACTTTTTACGATCTTTAATGTTACATTTTGAAAATTTATATATATATATATATATATATATATATATATATATATATATATATATATATATATATATATATATATATATATATATATATATATATGAACTTGATATTTCAAAATTATGTTTCGGTAGAAATATATTGAGACTCCCTCCGTCCCATATCTTTCTTTCTGTTGTGGCGTTGTGCAAAGAAAAGGAAAATTCCAAGTTTCATCTCTAAGACATGAATAATTTAATTCATGTCATCTTAAAATATTTTACTTTAAGACTCTATATTTCAATATTTAAAGTTTTCATGTGGGAAGAAGAACCGAGGTTCGCTTCTCACTTGTGACAATCTCCCTTTGGCCAGCTCCCTTGCCTCTCGGAGCGGACATAGATTGGTCAGGTAGACTTAGACCGTGAAACAAATGGAGAAATACCCGGAATCTTGTGGTTCACACCAAAAAAACTAATAGTGGGTCATGCCCCCAACTACTCTAGGGTAAATCCGATCATGGGCCTCGCATTCGGCTCGTCCAAAAAAGCACGCCCGCAAAATAGCAGGTTTGGGTTTGATATTTTGGGGTACAAACCGGGCTTGAGACTTATAAATGGCGGCCCGAATATTTTAGGGTGACATTCAAGTTTTATGTTCAAGCACATGGATCGGCCCGACCCGAATAAATTAAAACATTTATTATTAGCATACTTATAATAAAATTTCAATAACAACATTGATAATAATAATAGTAATAATAATAAAAATAATAATACTTCATACTATTTAAATTTTTATAAACACACATACATTCTTCTATGAAGAAAAAAAGTAAATTATGAGTATATTTTATAAAATGAATACACTTTTATTACTCTGTATTGTTTACAACGTATCACACATTGATTATTGTATTTCAATAAATAATACGGAATACTTCGTACATAGTAGCATATCAAACAAAAAACATTTTATATATTAGTTGTTCTTTCATTTGATTATTATTGTAATTATATCAACCATCTAATATGTTAACCCATTACTTTTTAAAAAATAATTAATTTTTAATTATTTAGAATTTTGTGTCGTGCGGACCGGGCCGGCCTAAAGTCACTGGTATCCACGTGGGCCGGGCTCGAGCTTCAATTATTAGGCTCGCTATATGGCCAGGTCGGACTCAGACCTAGATAATTCTCATAATGTAACATCTCGGCCCGACCCGAAACCCGACCCAGCTCATACCTTAATCACGTATACTCTACCATGGATATGCCCACATCCACAAAACTGCTGCATCTTCAAATCGGGAAATGTTAGCCCATTTCAAATCTACTAGCTAACAAATTGGCATAGTGGCCTCATTTTATTGCTTTGAGCAGTTTTCTTTTCTGTTTTTGATTTTTTCCTTTTTTCTATTTTAAAAAAATGTGGTGTAAAATATTTTTCGATTAAATGAACTTTACTCATTCACTTTTCATGTGATCTACTACCACCGTCCCAAAAAGATTTACATGTTTTGACTAAAGTGTGGAAATTAAGGGAGAGATAATTTTGTGTTACCTACATCCAAAAATACCATGTGTAGATTATTAGAAAAAAGGTATGATGTGATAGGTAGAATTTGAAAAAGTAAGGGGTAAAAATTGTTTTTTAATAGAAATGGGTAAGAGATTGTGGGACGCAATTTTTTTGAAAGGTGTAAATTTTTTTGGGACGGAGGTAGTAATATTTTTTAAATATGTAACAAATTATATAAAAAAATCACAAAAAAAATTCAAAATCAAGAAAATATTAAAATTTCATTAAAAAATTACATATAGAACCATATTCCACATTTTTAACCAATATAATATATCTATATAAAAACAATACTCAACACTTGTATTCCGTATTTGTTTTCCTAATTGCTCACTAAACACATTTTTTTAGATTTCAAAACTCATATCATTTTTGTTATATTTTAAAACTCATATCTTATCGTATTTCCAAGCTCACCAAACCGGTCCTAATATAAGTAGATATAGATAGATAGTGTATAAGTGTAGATAATATCAGATGAAACATTTGAATAAAAAGAATTCCAATGTTGAAAATTACTCACTCCTATCCGCTCATTAATTTATTTACTCCCTCCGTCCCACTGTTTTTGTCCACTTACCTTTTGGCACACCATCCAATGCACTTCTTTAATTCATTTTATCTTGTAATTTGTATATTAAAAAATTATAGAAATTATATATTAATAATCTATATGTTAAGACAAATCAAACAAGATCACACATGAGTATATTTAGGCTTACACATTGAGAGAATTTGACGAGTCAAAGTGCTTAGATGAACAGTTCCAAAAGTTAAAAGTGGACAAAAACAGTGGGACGGAGGTAGTATCACTTTACCTTTAGAGGTGTCGAAAAATTTATTTCTTATTTCTTATTTTAGCAAAAAAAGAACTTTTAATGAATATACCATTATACCCTTAGTTTTTCTCTTATACTCCCTCTGTTCCTAAATAAACTTCCTCTTTCGTTTTTTCTTTATCTCCACATAAACTTCTCTTTTCCCTTAAAAAACCCCTTTTACTCCTTACTTTTTCATACTCTACCTATCACATCATACCTTTTTACTAATAATCTACCTATCACATCTTACTTTTACACATCACATCAATGATATTTTTGGAAAGTCAACACAAAATATCCTTCCCTTAAATTTTCAAAAAGTCAAAAATGGAAATTTATTTATGGACGGAGGGAGTAGTTTTTAACTTTTTTAATCTTCGTATCAAGTCAAACCCGAAAATTTTTTTTTTGGAAGTAGGGAGTAAAAAAAATGTAGAAAATATAGTATGTACGCAGTACAATAGTGAGTGACACTCCCTCTGTCCTAAAACTTTCTTCCCAGAGCACTATTCCAACTTCACGGGAATTTATATTTATTTGTGTTTTTTCATGGCCTATATGATAAAATAAAATATTCTTGTCACCACTTGTTTTGTTGAACTTTTGATGTAGTTTTTAAATATGTATGTTTTATTTTTTATTTCTATACAAATATTTAAATAAAATAGATTGAAAAAATTTAAGATTTTTCTTCTTTTTGCGCAACGTGAAGAAAGTTTTAGGACGGAGGAGGAAGGAGTAATTGCCAAGTCAAAAGGTAGAAATTACCTAACGAACACAACAATAGTGAGTGATAATTGCTAAAGAAGTGGGAGCAAGTAAGCCATATATATCCCATCTCCCCCACTCTCTCCGTATCTTTCTCACCTCTCCCAATTCTCTTCTCTTCATTATTTAGCTTCTCAAACCCTTCTATATAAGATCATCAAACCAATATATATATATATATACACATACATGAAGAAAGAAAACAAAGAGAGAAAAGAAAATTAAAGAAAGAAAGAAAATACAATGGCTACTACTTGTTCTTCATCTTCTTCTTCATGGTCATTAACCCGAGTTGCGGTGGCGGCGTGGTTGTGCGCGGCGGTGTTTTCTCTCCATTTCTCGGCGGCGGTTTCGAATGAGTTTTCGGTGGGGGGAGACAAGGGTTGGGTCATTCCCAAAGAAGACAACCCTCAGTTCTACAATGACTGGGCCTCCAAGAACCGCTTCAAAGTTGATGACACCCTTAGTAAGTACTTCTCTCTCTCTTCTAAAATTAATTCTCAGTTTGATTTTCATGGTCAAACTCTTTGAACTTTGACCGCATATAAGATAAAAAAAATACATTTAATTTTCATTTAAATTTGATATCAATAGATTAATTTTTAAACATAGGTTTAATAAATAATTTACTTTTATAATCTATTTTCATATATAAATCAAGAAATTAATGATCAAAGTATTACGTTAGAGATCGTGAAAAGTCAAATCAGAAATTAATTTTAATCTGTGTGTGTGTTTATTAATTTGTTCTAAATTATTATTAGAGTACTGATTTTGAAAATGATTCTCTAACTTTTGTTTTCCATAAAACAACAAGAATAAGCATAGGTAAAATCTCGGATAAAACCGGGTTGAAATATTTGAGAGTGTTTATTATTTTTTTAACTTTTTTTCTAACACAGAAAAAACAAAATATGATATGCACACCAGAAATGTTTTTAGATCCTGTAATCGAATGCAGAATATACTTTTCAAAGAAAAACTAAGAAATGTTTTAAGTTCATATGGGGTGATAATTTTTTTTTTAAATTCTACATCAAAAGTTTTGAATAAATTGGAACTAAATTAAAAAAATTAGGAATTTTATTCTAGGATAGATGTCATATGATATTGTAACATTTCTCTATATAATCTTTTCAGTTTTCAATATTTGATTGAATTCCCTTTAGAAAATTTGATTGAATTTATTTTCAATTTAATGTATTTCAAAATTAGTATAGAAATAAAAAATAAAAATAACTCCGTTTATATATATATATATATATACACTTACACAATACAACAAAAAATTTACAAACTGAGAGGTAATTGTACTAGCTTATTTTATCAAGCTGAGTGAGTAAAAAAATTATTCCCTCCGTCCAATAATAAAGTTCCCGTCAAACATCGTAACGCACAATGAGAACTTTATTTGTGGACGGATGGAGTATAAAACGAAATTTGACTATGAAGAAAGTAACTGCGGCGGAGACAGAGAAAATATGTAAATTTTATTTTTCAAATTTTGAAATAAATTCTTTTGAAAAAATAACTTCATAATATCGTGTAGAGTTCGAGTACCGCAAGGATTCGGTGTTGGAGGTGAGCAAGGAGGAGTACGAGAAGTGCCGGTCGTCCGGCCACCCCATCTTCTTCGACAACCGCGAGCACACGTCGTTCAAGTTGGACCGGTCCGGTCTCTTCTACTTCATCAGCGGCGTTTCCGGCCACTGCGAGAGAGGCCAGAAAATGATCGTCAAGGTTTTGGAGACCGAGAACCCGCCTCAGCCCGGCGGCAACCAGCCGGCGGACGGCAACTCCCCGCCGGCTTCTGGCGGCGCGGCGGCGGTTCTTCGAGGCTCTCCGGTCCGGTTCGTGTTCTTCTCCGTCTCACTCCTCGGGTCCACCATCTTCATCAACGCCATGTGATCTTTAATAAATTAATTAATTAATTAATTTATTTAGTACGTTGGTTACATTAATTATTATTGTTGCGAAGTAGTATTATTTTGAGACATATTTCTTATGATTTTGGCAGAACTTATTTGTGTTATTATTATTATTATTATCATTATTATTGCTATTAGGGTATAATATTGAGTTTACAATATTCACATCTGAGTAGATTGTTAAGTGTGTTATTTTTGTTGGATTTCATGTTATTTCTTGTTATAAAAACAATGTCGTAGTGAAAAGGTTATTTTAAGATAGATAAAAAAAAGGAAAGTAAAAATTTATTGGCAGCCAAAGAGAATATATAGTAAAAAACACGAACATAAACTATTTTCTTCTAAATTGTAAAACGTGAAAAAATGATGCCTTTTTTTGCCTAAACAAAAAGCCATATTCTTCGTTGAATTTGAAAATCATTTTTACTCTAGAGAAATCTCTGCATATTAACTGGTGGTTACCCAAATATTGGGGTACGTTCGGTACCTTTTGTAAAAAGAACACAGTCATAAATGAAAAAGTAAGTTCTATAAATAGTTCTTAATTACATGTGATTTTTCATATTTAGTTTCTCATTCTAAAATATTACATAAATGATCCTAAATATTTGAAAATTATTCTATAGTCGGTGCTTCAGGGACTATTTGTAGATTTTTTTTTCATATTTGGCTTAAAAGACTATTTATGAAATAATTTTCAAAAATTGAGAGCTATTTATAATGTCTTAAAATTGGGGACTAAATATGAAAAATCTATTATAATTAAGGACCATTTATGAAATTTGCTATAAAAGAAATCAGCTAAAATTGTTGTATTCCCTAGATCCCATCTGAAACTTTTGGTGAGAAAATCACAGTAATATTCTAACCACTCAAGTGGACACCAGCACTAATATACCCAACACACTTGTATTTAAAAAAAATTGGCAAAGTACTTGGTTACAAAAAAATCAAAAGGTGCCAATCCTTTGCGTAAAACACAGAAAGTCAAGACTAAAAAAGATGGAGTCGTGTCGTGGAAACAGACCATTAATCTCAAGCACCTTTCTGAGGGAGTGTTTCGAAAGCAGATACCGTGTTCTCATATTTGACGCGATGCAATGGTGCACCACTTGGTTTTATAGCGCATGCTTGCTTGTCCTCAAGCGGGCACCGGGCTTTCAACATTGAAAACACATGACTGTTTAGCCTCCTCGCTTTCTTCATAGCCTCCATTAAGCTATCCAATCCCTTTCATATTAACAGTACCAACCAGTTAGACAAGATTAAACAGGCTTAAAACAACAACCATGTCTGAACCCACCACAGTACGGTCCCACGAGAGGGGCCTGGGGAGGGTGGATGTAGGCAAACTAACCTTACCCCTACATATAGAGATAAGTCTCTGAGAAGGAAAATGTATACCTGAACAAATGCAAGATTCATTTGCGGTGATGTAAACGCTGCTGCTTCTGCCTCTGAAACATTGAGGACTTGATGTGAAAAATCAAAGAGTTCAAAGTGCAGTTGCTGGCCAAGCAAGTAGATGATTGTGCATCCACCCCAGGCAACAGAATCGCCCAACATTTCGTGGCTGCTTGACTGCAATAATACAGATTCCTCCAAGTATTCCTGAAGTTATAAACTCAGTCAAATACGCCCATTAATATAAACAAGAATAGTACATGGCAACATTTCAAGACATCAATCAGGTTTTAGGCTTTTAGCTTTGGAATAAATTTTTTTAAGTTCCCAGAAAAGTATTGCCGTGAAACATGCTTAGACCTTCACTAACTAACACAAACGGCCAAATGATGTGATTGCATAAACTTTGATTTACTAAAATCGCAAAGATTTCCATTTTGTCTGAAGTGTCAGAGCAACATATGTAGCTCGTGAGGAACAAAAAGACTCATAATCATCCAACAGAAGCTCACTACTAATAATCTAAGTGTTAAATGTAATCAAAACTCTGACACATTAGCAAGAAAACACTGTATTCATAAAAGAAGGCACCAAGCTGGGACTTTCCAGATGCTTTATCCAGGGTTAAAGTTGATAGAGCTCAACAAATGCATAAGCTCTCTAAGCAAAATGAATTAACTTCTTCCTCTGTCCAAAAAAGAGCTTCTGGTGAAAATGGCACGGCTGACTGGCTTTAAAGTAGGTTGAAAGTGTTATTTATTGCAAAATGACTATTTGATAAGATGTGTGGAGTAGAAAGAGTGCGTGGTTGGTTCTAGTTTAGAACATCCAAAAAGATAATGACAATATCATTTTGGGAAAGACATATTGGTAAGTACTGAAGTGGACCAAGGGACTTAACCCTAAAGTTCAGTAATGAACAGCTATAAACTACTTCAGCATCTGTATTACCGTTGCTATAGTCAACACACCTCCACACAATGGAACACTTTGAGCACAATGGATTAAGCATCAAATAAGGAATTTAGAACTGTAGTTTGGATTTATAATGATGAATCTCTTAAGAGTAATGAGTAGAGCAAAAAGCCATCTCTTACTATTTGTAGGCCACTAAATATTCGGTAGAAGTCCTTTGAAGTTGTGATATCAATAAATCCTGTCTTAGGGGCCGTGCTCCATTTGCCACAGTATTTATCTAAAGCGGCACTGGTGAAAGCAAGGGCATATTCCAGTACACTTCCAGTGTCAATGTTGGCCTTGTACAAGAGATCTGTTTTGGCATACATAGATTAAATACATGTGCTCTGAAAATGCTTTAGGAGATCAGAAATATGCAGTTTACGAAAGGCATCTGAACACAAAATTAACAACAACAACAAAGCCTTATCCCACTAGGTGGGGTCGGCTACATGGATCAAATGACGCCATTGCGCCCTATCGTGTATCATATCTGCTCATACTACATTAGGCAACACGAACTAGGGCAACACCAGAGTTTTGATACATCTAGAGCTGGAATTACTTGTTTACCATTTGTGACCTCCAGCCAACAGACAGTGGATATTCTGAGAAAGAGCCTAGCAAGATCTGTCTTCAACTATTTCATAAGCAAGTTGGGCAAGCTAAATACCTATGCACCAGCTTGACGAGCATTAGGAAAATCAAATTTTGTGATTTCCTAATCGTGTTTATTTTTACTATTTTCTCTTTATTCCCTTAGTTAAGGTAACTGCTTTTTATACGTTTCATTGTAATTCTTCTACTTATACTGTCGACTGATGAATATGATATAACAACGTTTTATCACTTCCTTAAACAGATTTCAATGCTATCTACACACTCCAGTTTGAGGGGCAGTATTGAACTATTCACAGATCAGATTACACAATTCTGTGGTACATGGATTTGTGGTTGTGGCACATGGTTTTACAGTCCACATTATAATAGTGTTCAGCTTGTTTTGCACTTAACTTTTGGACCCTTTTATTTATAATAAGCAGCCATTGTTTTTGTTCAATAGTCAAGTAATACAAGTCTTATTATTACTCCCAACATATAATATACTACCTCCGTTCCAATGTATTCGTCCAGTTTAACATTTTCAAGTCAAACAGGACAAAAGTTGGACCTCCATTAAATAAAAATTGTAATTTGTATATTAGTATAAAAATGACTTCATAAGATTAATCTTGTTGAGAACTTTCAAAATTTTACTTTCATTGTATTAATATGCAATATAAATTGAGACTGATTGATGATTGATGATTAAATTGCATCTAGTTTGACTCAAAAAAAGTCAAATTAGACAAATACACTGGAGGGAGTATATGTCTATATGATACTAAAAGATTCTTCTTTCATGTGAAAGTGAGCTTATATTTGAATGACAATCCAATCTAATAGGTTGATGACCAAAAAAGAGTGCATATGGAATTGATAGCAAAATATGAATAAAAGAGATATCTACTCAACAAGTCAACAGTATGTATACTGAAATATAAATGAAACTCAACAGGTTAAAATGGAATGTGTAATATGCTTACCAGAAATCAAACTATGCAAATTTTAATATTCTTTATTGTCTACCATATGTGTCCTAACTTAATTTGATAATGTAACAAAAATGTTGCACCTAACATTGAAATTTTATTCAACCATTCCTAGCATCATTATAAACAGCAATTGCCTGTGTTTGGTGGATTCTAANATCTGCCCATCTGTGCCTGGAATTAAACCTAACCAAGGGGCTGTTTGCAAGAAATTACAAGTATCTACTTCCCTCTGCCAAACACAATATTACAAGTTCTCTCAGCACATTTTTTACTTTAACGAATATGGCAAAACATAAAAGAGAGAGGAGACAAAGAATCATAAATGCATCTTAAAATATACTCACTCAGTCACTCTGTCCTTTTTAATGTTCCCTTTTTCATTTTACCCAGTTAAAAAAATGAAATTGTGTGGTTATGGTTTATCTAGAAATAAACTAATCAAAACAAACCACACAATATCCTTAAAGGAAAGGAGAAGATTAATTACAAATGGCCCAAAAAGAAAAAGGAAGATCCAAGAGGGACGGAGAGAGTAGAAGAATGAAGTTTGAGCAGCTCGAGAAGTGTAATAGTCTCAAATATTGAACGGATGTTTGGTGTTTCAATAAAGCCAAATATGAATGTTCAGATGAAGTCATGAAGAATCCTTAGCATACTACATTTGCAGTGGAATTCAAAAGACAATCAGAGGAAAATTAGGGAAGTAGCTGATGGAGTACCATTAGATTATCATTTGACAAAGCTGCTTCTGTCAACCCATCATATAGATCAGTCATTACTGTAGACATATTTTGTAAAGTTAGTAATGGCAAGTTGCTTTAGTACAAAGTATAGGCTTGCTTTATTTCTTCCTTTTCTGTTGCATTACTCAACTTCTCTATTCGTTCTAGGCAGGGATCGGGTCTGAGTACAGCACCCTAGACCCTATTTCTGGGATTTCACAATATTGGTTGTTATTTGTTTGCACTACTGACCTCTTAGACCAAGCTCTGCAAATCGTAGGAATGGGTCTTGACCATGTACTATTAGCTTTCAATTCATAGGATGCATGGATGGCACCAACTTGAGGGAACGAATTGAAATATTTTGTAAAGTTAATGATGCAAAGTAGTTATTCATTGCTATTGGAGCTAAACGTCATTGTTTACAATGATATAGCTTCGGGAAAATAATGAACTAGATCAAAATGGCACATTAAACTTCCTTTGCTTCATACTTTCTACGTAGTATGAAGTTTTTGGAAGTAAATGCAGCAATGCATCAAAGGTCTAACTTGTAGGGGTAAGGTTGCTTCCATCTTGATTCTTGACCCCGTTGGGATTATACTGGGTATGTTGTTGTTTTGGTTGTTGTAATAATGTAACTTTAGGACAAAGTCTAGACTTGCTTTATTTCTTCCCTCTCTAATTGCATCACTTAGAGTGTAGACCAAGTCCCACAAATGGAGGATTGGTCTTGATGATGTATTACTAGCTTTCTATTTATAGGAAAGGACCCAAATTTAAACGAAAGTGCAATGAGTTCATGGTATTAGTAAGTAGTACTACCTAGAAAACCAATCGACTTGGCAAACTTACCAAAACAATATCAAGAAGACCCATGCAGTACAGCACACTCCCAATTTCCTTGATTCCACAAAGAATCTTAGCTTTGAGTTCAGATTTTGACTGCCAGCAGTTAAGAATATCCTTTGCATATCTCATACATCCTAAAACCATATAACAAAGTGCTCAAAACCAACAAAAAAAGATCCACAGTTAAAAACTAGATTTATGTACACCTGATATTAGTTCAATACGACCGTGCAATTGTTCCCACTATGTTGCAAAATGACTCCATTTTGATCATGTGATCCTAAAAGAGACTTACAACCACAACAAAAACAACAAACCTAGTAAAAATCCCACAAAAAGTACCTATGGAGGGTGTGTGTACAGACCTTACCCCTACTTGAAAGTGGAATCCTAAAAGAGACTTAAAGCACTCAAATATTAGGTGGCACTTCATGACAAAATGCGAACCAAGCAATTACATACATAATCTACACTTGATCTCATTTCAAAACAAACAAATATAAAAGTTAGGCTGCACATAGGCTTGCCCCGGCCTACAAATCTACAATGAATCTGGCTACCTTGGCCTGCCAGCCCTGCCTATGCAGTTACCCTTTAGGGTACCGAGTAGGAGGGAAAAATTTGTTCTAAAATAATACTACCTCCGTCCCATAAAAGTTTTCCACTTTAGGAAAATATGGGATTTAAGGAATGTGTAATTTTGGTGTTATTTTCCAAATTTTCCCTTACTTTTTAGTAGGGTAGGATAGATATGATGTGATGTATAGATTAATAGTAAACAGATATGATGAGAGATATGATGTGATAGGTAGGTTAATAATTAGTAGGGGTAAAAGGGAGATTTTAATGGCAAGTGGAACTGTTTTATGGGAGGGATGAAAAGTAAACGTGAGTGTTTTTTGGGACAGAGGGAGTATATTTAAACATACAACAACGCACATTGCGGGGTAAGGGGAGTCAGATGTACGCAACCTGACCATTATGTTTAAATCATAGGTCAACTATTTTCTGATGACTCATGATGAGCGTCGAAAGTTGCATTGAGTAACTGCTACTGTACTTCACTATTGAAAGACAAACAGTTTAAAGAGTATTTTGCTATATCCCATCATACCCCAGAGCCAAAAAATAGTGAATCTTTGGCACCATCAGAAATTATGGAAAATATATGCAAAGATGATTCAACTAAATTATACTTCGTACTAATGTAAACAATTACTCTTTGAGCAAAAACATACTTCCATTTTATATTTTTGAAATATTACTTTTTTTTATAACATAAAGATTACCATCTCTATTTTCAATTTATATTAATATATATTTGGTCTTTGGGTCTAAGAAATACAATCAGTTAAAAAATATCAAACCATAGCATTAAGGAAAACCTTAAGAACACTGACAAACAAGTGAGGTCACATATGGCAAATTTGAAAAGTTTCTTTCAGAAAATGGAGGGCTCATGTTAATGCGATTACAAGATCAAATGTCCTACTTCAATACAATAAAAATGGTGAAACTTCAATATTTCTCCCTCCATCCTGCTATTTTTGGGACATATGGTAGTGGCATGAAAACTAAGGAAAGTAGAATTATTTTGTTGATATTGATTTCAAATAGTAAAAAAAAAGTTAGAAAGAATTTGACCCAAACAAACATTACCAAATATGGTATGGGACAAAAATAGTGTTACGGACATATATGGTAAAATGGACAAAAAATAGTGGGATGGAAGTAGTATAATATAAATCTCACATTTTCCAATAATAATGTAGGTTGTGCATTTTATGTTGCAGCTCAATCTTTAATAACGACAAAAAAAAACTAAAAAAGGCAGTGTTTTGACAAATTTATAAGCAGTAGCATTACAAAGCTACACAACCAAATCAACTTTGCCTGCAAAATACCTGCTACTCCTCCATCAAACGGAAGCAATCCAATGGACTTAGGCAAAGCTTCTTGTAAGCCAATAATCATTGGTTCAATTGTAGTAATCTAAATGAAATATGTAAAACATTAGCATCTCATCAATAAGTCATTTTCAATGAGTAAAAACCTTAGATGCATGATGAGGTTGAGATCATGACTACATGCACTATCTACTATGATATGATGAACACTTACTGATAAAGTACAATAGCTGGACACAAAAATTCTTCTCATCACAATAAAGAGTAGTTTGATATCACTAGAGGTAATAGTTTTGCATGATATAATAGCTAGAGAAGATTTCCCAAGACACAAGATGATCAAGAATGCATTCATGCTCCACATTATACCTTGTTTGAGACATGATCCAAGAGGGCTCTGATAAGCCAAGGCAATGATCTAGACCCCAAAAGCTTTACAATTGAATACATGTGAGGGATCCCAAAAAATCCACAATACAATCGAGCAAAGTTCTGGTATGCAGAATTTAGATCCTAGGACAAATTATAGAGGAGCAACTGAGCAATCAACACATTTTTCTATTCAAGCAAAGAAATCATGGAAATTACATAGTTGTGTTGGATAACTTCTTACTGGGTTACCACAATAAAAGTTTGGCTTTGCATAGGGAATTGAAGGTTTCTGCACAGAAACTGAAGGAACTCTAGAAGATCGGACAAAACGCTGAGTTGTATTGCAGAGTATGAAGTTTGGCAAAAAATCATTTTGCATCTCCGTCCAAATCTAGCAAGCAGAATAAGATAACGATAAACAATTTTTGTGACATTGTTGCAAGTCCACAATCACAACTAGTGGTGCCCCATATAAGACAAGCACACAACATGTTAATGACTAAGGGCATGTTCACTTCTTTTGTATTCGAATCTTTCTGGTCAGGTCTTAAAGTTAAAGTTGTTTTTGATCTGATATTATTCCAATAAGAATATATAATACAGAGTAAGTAATAAGCATTGTTGTCAAGTCGTCGCCTAGTCGCCGACTAGTCGTCCAGGCGTTTTCTGAATGGCACCTGGACGTAGGAAAATTATATGCAAGATGACTATTTTTTATCTTATTCAAGTAGGTAGTAGGAAAATATCATGAGGTGACAATGAGTTGAGACATGTGTTATTATCATGTTTGACACATGATGATATTGCAAGAGCAGCAAGGCAATGATGCCACACCCGTAACATGACTATGAGAACATACCTACAATCCTGAGTTAAAAAAAGTTAAATGAAGGCAAACTGAAAGAACAATGCTAAGAGCGGCATGGATATTAACATGAATCACAAATTCAAAATTACAAAGGATATAGAGATTACTGAAAACCTGAGAAGCAAGACGGCTAGAATATGACACAAGAGATACATTCTCCTGCATTTCATTTAGCATCATATTGAAAGAATCTAGTATAAGATCTTTTGACAAATATTCATGGGCATGTTGCAAAATCTCAAGAAGCTTATCCAATTCCTGAAATTACAACAGCAGAAAGAATAAGATACAAACAAATAATGTTCCATATTGCCGGAATTTAAAAACCGATGGGGGAAAATGAAGAATTTTTAATTACCACAATGGCACAAATGTCTTGAGATTCAAAGCGGTCAAACAAAAACTCGATGTTGTCTCGAAACATTTTGTTCATTCTCTCTGCAATCAATCTCCTCAAATTGATTGACCTTCCCAAGAGCTATGTATCACACAGGCATCAAAGCGGTTGTTAAACATGAAGTAGAAAATGAAGCTGGTGAAATAAAACAGCTCACCAAAGTTATTCAAAACATGTTATTTTCACTAATAAGAAATGAAAATACGATCTTTCTTAAATGGATGTGCATCAAGTTAAGATAGTAAAACATGGTAGTTTTGTGTGTGTGCAAGGGGTGTCCATGAAATGAACCTCAAAAGCTTAGAATAATATAGTACTGAATTGAACCAATACATAAACTTGAGAATTTAGCAACTTGAAAGAAGATATAGAATAGAATTTGAATTGTCTACATGCACAATAGAAATGGACATCATAATGCCAGAAAAGAGGAAATGCTAGACTTTATATGCAGCTTTAGACATGAAACAAATAGCATACATATGTATTGTCACCTTCACTCTTGTGATCTTTAAGAGGGAATTAAACTTCATTGGTTGGAATGTAAACCTTTCACCAGCATCTACGGCAAAAATGAATGTTGGATCAAGTAGTTCACTACAAAAATGAGGTAACAAATATATTTAGAAAGCTCATTTAATAGAATCATACTAAGTTTTATTTATAATTTGAAATGAGAAGAATGCAAAAATGTGTACCTAGCTACACAAGTCTTATAGTATGTGAAAACAGTTTCACACAACTTTGCAACAAACATATCAAAACAACTGTCCACCTAAATAGAGCACAAAATGAATTGCTGTTAGAAGTATGTAATATGTATTGAGGAGAAACCTCTCCCTTCAAAATCTATAAAGAAAAAAAGGATGCAGTACAAACTGATAGAAAAGTAGATAATCCACATAAGACAACAACAACAACAACCCAGTTAAATCCCACAAGAGTAGGGTCTGGGGAGGGTGTGTGTACGCAGACCTTACCCCTACTCGAAAGTAGAGAGGCTGTTTCCAAAGAGACCCCCGGCTCAACGTCGAAAGTTGCATTGCTTGACTAACTGCTACTTCATTAATTAAAGAAGCGCAGGCAGTTTAGAGATTCATTTTGATTTATTCCATCACACCCCAAAGCCAAAAAATGGTGAAATTTTGGCTCCATCGGAGATGATGGAAAATTGCAGACAAAGGCGGAACCCACCATATTGAAAAGGCTTTCACGGCAAGTTTTCGCTNGAACGTAAGGATGCCACCGAAAGGGTACAGAACAAAGGAAACCATTGCAAACAAAGGCAGAGCCCACCACGTTGAAAAGGCTTTCACGGCAAGTTTTCGCTGCTACAGCAAGGATCAAACCTGACCATGAAAACCAAATACATCTCACACACAATTACGCATCGCAAACTTCATACACACCGCACAACCCACCAACAGACCAAAGGCCAAGTTTTTAACTCAGCAGTCAGCCCACCAGCGAATGCCTGGTGCCCATGACAGTCGCGTCGATGAGAGTACACATAAGAGTAATTCTCATACTGATTTTGACCTACACACAAATTCTCACATAACCAGATCTAGTTACATAAATAAATTGAAAATAATAGGAAACTTTGCTGCCTGAATGTGTTCAAGCAATCAACATCAGCAAGAAAGAGTAGCCAATTCAACTAAATAAAGGTTTGGAACTTGCAAAGCACTGAAATACGAGTAAAAAAAAGTGAAGAATGGAAATCTGACACAACCACACAAATAATAAAATATGTTTGTATAGTACATTAAGACATAGAAAAATCAACGTGAAATACAGAGCTTGGCCAATGCAAAACATTTTGTATAAACCTGTGCTTATTTCTAGACTCTAGTGCTACACAATCCATAAACCCCTACTTGTTGAAATTGTCAATATGTTTGTTACTCTGTATTAATTACCTCAGCTTCGATTTCATCATAGAGGAAGCGTTGCTTGAGGACTACTAATGCATGCTGAGCAGCATCATTATAGATATCAAATGGCATGAGTATACTCTCAATAAGACCAGCATTATGTGATTCAATGGCATAATCCACCAGCATCCATGGAAGGGAGCATTCAATGGGAAACTGAAAATAAAAGCATGAATGTGTTCGCTTGAATACAGATAAATGGGGTCATAGTAGAAAAGCACGGAAAATGATAACGTGCTAATAGACTGTTAAATGCCAATGTGCAAGATCTAGAACACCTCTCAGATGAGGCGTATAAAACTATAAAAGACATTCAAGGGGCTATGGTGGGTGGGAAAAGCCTAACCTTTTCGCACTACGAAGAAAAGGGAGAATGCATACTCATTACTCATCCATACAAATAAGTTACTCCCTCTGTCCCCAAATAAAAATCCTAGTTACTATTCCAGGGTCACATATAACTTTTATTAAGTTACATGTTTTCATTGACTATAACCTCTTGTACTGTAGAACTTTTGATGTCCTCATAGTTTCTAAATTTGTACTTCCTCCGTAGTTTATAAATGTTATGGGAAATCCTAAGAAAATTAAAACTTTGCAATAAAGTTTATGAGGCATAACAATTCGGGTTTGTGCCTCGCCAATCACTAATTTTGACGACTCGTGTTGGGATTACAATAAAGATGTGTATAAAATTTATAAAACTGGAGAGTTTACCTAAGAAAGAACATTGAACTCATTCCTATTTTCAACCATCATATCATGGATACATTAACCACGAGTGTACAAGATGAGGCACCATGGTGAGTTGTTCTAGTTCGAAAGAAAAGATATTTACTAAGTTGTTGAGTCCAAAGAATGATTAAATGCAAAATTCAAAATATGGGGAAGAGAGTTAGAATTATGAGGGGTTAAGTTAAGGAAATCTCAAAAAGAAACATTTGGAGTGTGAAATATAGGAAATCGTAGTGGGCGAAATTGGATGGTAAAGAGTTACCACTCCCTCCGTCCCATATCTTTTTTCCAACATTGACTTTACACGGTTTTTAGTGTTAAACAAAAAATTCTTTAACTTTTCTATTTTGCCCTTTCCACTACTCCATATTTGCCTACTCTACAATCTTCTTATTCTTCCATAACTAACCAGCCCTCCTCTTAGTTATTCTTCTTCTTCCGTAACTAGCCATCCCTCCTCTTAGTTATTCTTCTTCTCCCGTAACCAGCCAGCAAACCCTCCAACCTCATCATCATCTTCTTCTTCAACATCAAATTCAATCTACCTTTGCCTTCCAATTTCAAACCTCAATTTCTTGTTCAAACTCAATCTCGCTCCGTCCTTACCCTCTCAACAAAATCCAAATCCAAATCTGGACGAAACCCAAAAAATTAGCAAAAAAAGACAAAATAGAAACAAAAAAAGGAAATGAAATTGGAAGAGAAATGAAAAGCTATACAATAAAAAACAAATTGAAAATGAAATAAAAAGCTTAAGGAGTCCTATTGGCACTCCTTCATCACCACCCTTTCCATGCAACCCTTCGTCACCTTTAGCCAAAGAAGAAGAAGAAACGAGGGGGAGAGTGGGATCTGACGAAGACAAAAAGAAGAAACAAGGGGTGGGGGAGGTACGACCAAGAAAAAGAAGAAAGGAAAGGGAGGTTGAAGAAGACGAAGAAGAAGCAGAGGGGGAGTGTACGTGAAGAAGAATAAGAAGAAACATGGGGGCGGGTAGTAAGAAGCGCAGGTAATTTCGTCTTTTTGACAATTTATTTGCCAAATAAAAAAACGAGAAAACGAGAAGAAAGATATGGAACAAAGAAGTAATAAGCAAATGTATTGAGTATTTGTGATTGAAAAAAGAGAGATATTGACAAGGATGCAAGACACAAAATCAATGTAGTGTGGTAAAAATCAAGACGAGCAACATGAATACTCTGTGATCATAAGATTCATAACATACTCTTAAGACTAAACTAAAACACTCATAGGACTGCCTTTAGACCACCTTTGTTTATAGATCAGAATGTTGGGCTATTTAGAGGTATCTAACAAGAAGATGAGTGCGACGCAGATGTCTATGATAAGGTAGAATGATAGGTGTACGTATAACCGTAAGACTATACAAGATAGAGTTTGCAACGAGAAGACTCACGCGAAAGTGGGTGAAGCAGCTAGTTCCTTTCGGCAAGTCTGTCATGGATCCAGAGTGCAAATAAAGATATTAGACTATTGGGACTTCATTAGAATATGGTACATGGAAATACATATAGATTTCTAATACTGAAATGCCTCTCAATCTATACTTATTATTTCCAAGACTAGGTAGGAATAGGATCAATAGATGCAGGAGACAGTCAGTGCATGATATGAATCACATAATTTATGCCTCTAATGTCTCTCAAGTCCCACCAACATATCTTCTCTGGCTAATGTCTCACCCCTACTTGCTGATTATAATTTGGGACATCTTAGCTCGTATTTGATGCAATGAGACATTGCCTACTTACCATCCACAAATTCAAACCATTACAAACCTCTATGCAAATAAGGGTAAATCTAACATGAATTAGATTGTTCTATAAGCACTCTTATTAGCATGACTATTATGTGATCCATGACCATTTAAAATCCCATTCGAATAAGCTAAAACAAGTTCCTTTTGTAATTAACTTGGGATCTTAAATTTGAGTCTTGCAAGGGGAAAACAATCAAGAGCTTCATATTCCAGTATATATAATTGTGCCACCAATCAACCACAATATTTTCCCTTAGTCAAATGGCTGCATCCCTTCCCATAAACAGATATGGGTAAAGATGATAGAAAACCAAGTTGCCTCGTTTGATCTTTTTTCAACAACTGGAAATTCATCTGTGACAGATGTTCTTGTCGCCACAATGGTGACTCCAATGTTCACAATTCTATGTCAGTAGCCCACATTGGGTCTCGCATGTTAAGTGAATGATAACATCATTGAATTAAATAAGGTATTAGTTTAGGGGTGTAATTTCAGGTTTTGTAGAAGTAGAGTGCATATCAATTCTTATCCCTATTTACAATCATGTCTCCCCTCTCGTCCTTTTATCATAGCATCTGATATGCAGAAATGTTACAAATCATAATACTTTAAGTAAAAAAGTATAAACCAGAAAAGGAAATTGACAAATCAGAGAGTTCTGTGCAAATTCTGTACGAGTTAAAGGCTCAAAAAGCATCATTATGAATAATTGTATATGTAACAGTGTATACCTGAATTACTCTGGAAGATTCCAA